TGCTCGATTTCTGCGTGTCATCTCTGACTTTTTTGACTTTGACTCGCTGCAAGGCGTCCAAGCGTTGCGAGAGGTAAGGACATGCTAGTAGCACGGCGAACTATGTCGCTCACTTTCAGTGATCCGTGACAGAAAGAAGAAAAGAGCAAGAGCCGCGTGTCGTCCCGTAGGACCAAGCACACGCTCCAACGTCGGAGTCCCCCGGCCCGTAGGCCCAAGCAAGGACTAACGCAAGCTGCAGGTTGCATCAGGAAAAACCAAAAGTCCCAAGGCATCGAGCGATACGAATGACAAGCAACACATAGCCGATGCAGCATGCCAGATGGAAAAGAGCTGGCCAATGCTGTCATTGCAATCTGTATAAATCAGCACGAATATAGGATAATAAATACAACATCCAGTGCAATAAGAGAAAGACAGCAGAATGCAATGCAGAGCTTGCCATCGTCAGAATTTACAAATCAGGTGCGCTAGGCACAATGGCAGCACAGAATGCAAGGAGATGGTGCTTGCAAGGTTAGCTGCCTTACAAATCAGAAATGAAGAAAGAAGTGGCCTTATCCCGATCACAATCAAGAATGCATAACTGTCAGCAATAACAAAGGATAAGCCACAGTGCAGAGTAACAGACTTCATATGTCGGGAGAAGCCAAAATAGGAACTGTGAGTTCTCAGTGACTGGAGGGCTCACATCGCTGGCTTTGCATGAGCAATCATTTGTCAAAGCAAGCTTGCTCAGAGCAGAGAAGACGGATCTGCATCACGCCATCATAGAATCAGTGGCTTAGTATGCATACAAACGAATAAGAGCAACACAGGGAATAACCCAGGAAACAACAATATGGCATCCAACAAAAAGGGTCTTGACCAAGCCACTGATCTATGCTTACAAGTCAGACGGGAGCAGCATGCAGGCTTTGGAAAGACTCAAAGATGACGGCATTACAAATCAGGCGGGACATCCGGTTGCATAAGCACAAGGCAATACTGACGAAGGAAAGGGAGTCAGTCTAGGTAGGGGTACCAACATAAAAGTAAAATCCCACTTGATCAGAGTGCCACAACCGGGATACCGTCAATCAGCACGAGATAAAATCTCATAGCATTCATGAGGTGTCTCTGGCGCGTGTAAGCAAATGGACGTTAGAAGAGGACAGAAGCACAGTCAGCTCCTGGGCTCTGGGTTTAGGATTTTGTCCGTGCTGGGTAGAATGGTATGCGCGCTCTGCACCTCATGACAACTCTACCATGCATCAGCTCTCAAGCACAACCTCAGAAGCAACGCACTTAGACACCGGCATTTTGAGTATGACGAAAGGCGATATGCCTATAAGACTTGATAATAGGATTATCCGAAAGACAAATGGTCTCCATCACCAGCCAGCCAAAGAGTCAGGAAGTTGTGACAGCACGTATAAAGCGGCCCATACTTCGGTCCTTGAACATCAAAAGCATAAACCCTCAGCTTCCGTAAGCAAGCAACGTCTGACCGAAATAAAATCAGTATGCCAGCCACTTGGAAGATGAGTATGGTCATCCAGTTGGCATAGCAAGTCAACCAAATCATGACCTAGAAATCAGAACATCAAGACTAAGAGCATTTCATGCACTGATTAACCATACTCATTGTCTCAGAGCTGCAAAGGCCATCAGCCCTCAGCCCGAAATCAGTGCTGCCATACAGATAAAAAGGCTCAGAGAGATCTACAGTGGATCAGACCTGCCACGCATAAAGTGCACCTCAGGTGGCTTGAATTCGACACAGGCCGACAAGGTAACCATTGCAAGCAATATCACGGTGGTCGTGAGCAGAAGCGAGACGAGGTTTGACTGAGTCATTGCAGATCATGAATTTCCAGCCACTCGAAAAACCAATACATCGACTAGGCACTGACAACGCAGTTTGGTAGTGACCTGTATGCGGTGTGGCCCCAAGATGATAAACAACAAACGCCACTCTACAATTGATCATAGTAGTGGTGGTGGAGCCTGGGTGACTGAAGACTGGTATGGCAACCTCCTGTCCAGGTTTGATCTCAACGCGCATGTCCATCTTATGAACGCCATCGGCCTCATCATGGGTAAAACGGTGAAGCTGTAAGATCAGGGCACCACCAAAATACGACATGGCATGTATTTGTGCTTGACCCTCCCACGCATCCAAGCAAGACTGAAGCGTCTGTTCCAATCTATCCAATTTCAACGGAAGCAGCGTCGTGCCCTTGTCTGTCACCCGCACAGCTGTACCTTGAGCCAGTCGGGCATGCCATTCTCCACAGAAGACCGGAGGCTTGGCATGACTCAAAAAATGAGCACAAAACTCAGCAGCGTCGTGTTGTTCGTGCGCCTGAGGCCAGGTAGCAAACACTGCAAGCCATGGTATTGCATTTGTAAGCTGAAGATTCCGAGCCCCATACACAACGCTCAGACAGCCAGAACAAGTGCCACCTGCCAGGGTATTGCTCTGGAAGATATAACCCAGCCAACTCAAAGCAATGGCCACGGCATTGGCATAACACAAGTTGTGGGGGTTGAATAGTACCATGGTAGGGGCCACATAGCTGGAAAGAGAACGCAGAATAAGTGGGGTGCCTGCCGTACCAGAAACATCTAGCCCAGGAGCTCCGCCAGCCGATTGGCTAGCGGAGAGCGACCCAGCCGCTCGCGGCGAAAGCGACCGCCTATAAGCTTCCATGCTGTGCAGTTGATCATCCGCCGAAGCCAAGCATGAAGATTCTGTGCTTCCTCGCCAACAGTCTCGATTTCCAGGAGTAGTCGCCAAGTGTCCCCCGTCATGTTCTCGGAGATGGAGTGGTAGCCGTGGCAACGCAGTATGTTCTCGGGATTGATCGTATCCCTGACCTGGTTGAGCTTCCTCATCAGTCTGGAATGCTCCAGGGGTCTCGCTTCCTCGCTCGACACGATTTCCTCGACACGACGAGCTGGGTTCCAGCGTAGAAACGGCCAAAAGGGTTCGTCCCCCTGATTCAGGATGAGACCCGCCTGAGCTGAGGCTTCCAAGCGTGTCGGCTCCACCGCCGCCTGAGCTCTCTCGATCATCACTTCCAGCAAGGTCGACAGCATGACTATCCGAAGCGGATGCTCCTGTATACCCTCTTCGTCCTTCTTGCGGTTCCAAGCTGCTGACACTCTGGCCAGCGATGGTACTATCGATTCGGGTCCAGCGGTCCTCAGCCACCAGACGTATCCTTGGTTCGCACGCTGCACTGCGATCGCGTCTTCGTGGCGCAAACACAGGCGCCCCATCGCTGAGATGACGTTGTCCTGATGACTGGAGCTCGAAGTAGTCTGAGAGGGATCGTTGTTTCCCTTCTGACCTTTGCCCTGTCCTTTGCCCTGCTTGCCCTTCTTGGTCTTGCCTTTCCCCGACGGTGTGGCTGTAGCTGCATTCGGAAGCAGCTGCTGCTGTGGCGTCATAATACTGGCCGGAGATGCTGTGGTCGAGGATGGGGTTGGCAGGCCTGTTACCGGTATCTTGACTGGTGGCTGCAAGGCAGTTGCTCGAACTCCCACAGGCTCCTTGGGACTGGCCGCTTCTTCGTGGATCTCCCCCTTCATGGCCTTGGAAAGACTTTCCTCCCGACCGGAAGTATCCTCGAATATCCCACGTTTTGGCTGGTCCTTTGTATCCATCGGCTCGGCCTGGTCCTTCTGCATCTGGGAGGGCCGGGGGAAGAGGCTCAGAAAGTAACTGGTTTCGGCTCTCGTCGGCGGGGCAATCCCCGGCTCGTCGCCCATCCACCAGAAGAGCAAAATAAGCCTGTGTAAGGACTGGGCATCTGTGTTTAGCCTTCCTTGTGGGCACTTTACCACAGTATAAGCAAGCTGCACTCAAACTGAGGGGCCGGACTAGAGCGCGAACTCGATTCCCAAGGGCCTCCCATAATATACCATGTGTTTTCTTAAAGTGCGAGGCTGCATAATCCGGATGCACAAACCACTGCCTGCACAAGCAGCAGTGATGTTGAAGTTCCTGAAGTGAGGAGGAGGAACGTCGCAACACTCCAAGCCCAGAAATACGAATAGCTTGTAGAAGCTCCGAGTTCTGCACTCAAGGCTGAACGGCGGGTTCACCAACAGGTAGGGCTGCATACGTGGCGTGTGCAGCCAAAATTTTGCACCGAGATTGTAGCAGATGCTCATACAGGTTTCGCCAGTTCGCAAACTTAAACAGACAATAAGCACAAGTAGGCATACCATCAGCTGCATGCATGCGCACTGTTTCAAGCGCGATCTGACTGCGGTTCCAGTCCTCAGGCAAATCATCACGATGCGACTTTCTCTGATGAATACGAAGTCTGCGAACATCATCAAAGGTTTGATCACAAAATTCACAGGCGTACTGATGGTGAGGATCAGAAGGAAAATGCTCAGGCACTGACAGGGGTGATGCTCGGTAGGTTTGAATTTCGAGCAAAAGCTGTCTGTACCACGATACATATATGGACCTGCACATGACATCCTCAGAATGCAAATCATCCATCAATTGCATGTGATAGGCCAGGGCATTAGTAGCCATACACTCAAAATGAGCGCCCAAGTCCTGCATTCCCAGCGTCTGCATCAGGTTCATGTTTGTCTCCGAGGTGAGATGCACAGGAGATCGAGCAATCAAACGAAGCTGCTTCATACACATGCCATGCATACGAACAAAGCCAGAGGAACTCCAACCAAGACCCAGTAGACCATAAGTCGCTGAGGGTAGCACGATGGTTTTCCACAGTTTGATTCTGTGTGATAGCGACAAGATATGGTGACCCAAGAGAATCTTGCATATACGCTCAAAGCTAGCGCGCGCGACACCTATACGTCGCCTCCAGCTCAGCTCCTCAAAGCCCCCGTAGGAGAGAACTATACCCAGATAGTCCAGTTGCTGGACCAGTGGTATAAATACATTGTCCTGGCCAATGGGAACACGAAGCCATTCACCACCTCGAAAGGTGGAAGTCCAGAGCTTCCGCAAACTCTGAGACATGGAACCACGTAATGACATAATGGCGTTGCTTTTCGTAGGATTCACCTGTAATCCAAACGTGCGCAAGAGCTGTATAAAGCTCCCAAACTGTCTCAGAGCACACACACACACACAAGATGCGACGGCTGATCAAGTATCCAGCTCAGATGTTTATCATCTGCAAAGAAAACAACCTCAGGCTGAGTGGGAATCTTTGCTGATGAGGCATTGGAATTCTTCATAGATCAGTCCCGTAAAGAGACTCCATAGAAGAGGACTCAGCACACATCCTTGCCTCACTCCTCTTTGAGCACGAACCTCGACTCGGGCCCCTCGATGCTCAAGCACGTATGTGGTGCCGCTGATCCAATCCATAATTCTGGCAATCAAAGCTGGGGGTGCTCCCGTTCGTTTGAGAGATTCATGTATCAATTCCCAGGGCGCAGTGTCGAAAGCCTGAGACAGATCGACCGATATTTGCAGACACGCACAGAAATCACTTTGCTTAATAACACCCTCGCGTCTTTGATGCAGATTATGAGTATGAGCTCGAAGAAGTGTACGTGCTCTACGGCAGTGATCTGCCACTTGAATAATCGCAGAATACGTCGACCGATGTGCCAAGTAAGCATGTTGCGGCTTGCCACGCAAATAAGACATAGCATACGGCTTCAGATCATCAGCCAAAACTTTGATGTAGCCCTTTGCCACCGGGTCTTGTAGTCCAATGGGACGTAAAGATGAAATAGCACCATGTTTTTTACCCGGTTTGGGAATCAAAGCAACATGTGTAAGATTCCAAGAATGTGGTATGCATGGTCGACCAACACCGCTCATCCAATCAGCCACACGATCACCTAGATATTCGGTGACTGCCTTGAAGGCAGGAGCAGCTGGGTGGGTGATTGGCAAGGCCTTGTATGGCTGTATACTGCGGGTGGAGCATTTCAGCTGGGTGAGATCAGGTGCATAAATACGAAGCTCCTCTGTACTGTCATCAATGCTCGAACAACTTCGCAATATAGGGCACTGCCAACCTGGTGGTCTATGCCAGACTTTTTCAAAGTGAGAGCGAAGCAAGCATAGCTCTTGGTCATGGGAAAGAATCGAGCCATCTTCGGAGCGGATTTGCACAGATTGAAAGCGCTGTTTGGGTGCGAGTCGACGGACTATGCGGTAGAGCACAAATGCATTGTGGGAGGCAGCAGCCTCTTCCGCCTGTTGGATCTGATCGAGATACCTCTCCCGCTTCACCAAGCGCCCATGTCTTTTGGCCTCCCGGTGCATGGCCCTAAAGCGACTCTCATGATGCCATTGAGCAAAGCAAGTGGGGATGTCAAAGCTCGCTCGCCGTTGATATAGACGCGAAAGCTTGTGGTGAGCCCACATTCTTTTTATGGAGCCCGCCAGCGAGGGGTGATTCCACGGCTGTGGTACTCGTGACTTAATAGCTGGAAAATGTTCTGCACAACAGACCATGAGTTGATCCCGCATCTCATCATACGAGCTGAGCTCAGCATCAGCAAAATGTCTGACAGCGGCTTCAGCAAAGGTTTGATACTGCTGAGTCTGCAGATTGTAAGACTGAACCAAAGCCGCCCGATCATATCTAGTGGAGCGCGTTTTGGCGGGCCACCAGTTTCGTGGCAACGATAATTCAGCAATGAGTGGGTGATGTTTGGTGTCTCGCCAAGCCATAAGGGATGAATCGTATAATGGTCGAGATCTCTTAGCACGGCCAAAAGCATCACCACTACGAACAAAAATAAAATCGATCTGTGTCCGACTAGCACAGTGTTGATAGGTGAAGCTGGGGCGGCAATGAAAAGTGTTGAGAGCCACCAAGTCATGACGCTCAGCAATGTGCAACAACGTGTTTCCCTCTCGACAATGGTCAGGGTGGGTTGGAGAGGGGACACAGATGGCATTGCCAGTGTGAGGCGCAGCATACGGCAGGGGCTGATTAAAATCCCCACCCACCACCAAGAGATTTCTGCCTGGCATCGACTGAATAAGTGTATCCAATCGATTGAATAGCCTTCGACGCTTGTCCCTGACAGCTCGGCTAGGATCGGAGGAGGCAGCATGCTGATAAACATGAAGTATATCCACATTCCTGCTGGGGAAGTCAATCCTGACATGAGTGAGACGACCCTGCAGCACATTGTGAACACGAACCTGCTCAGCACTCACACCTGGGACACGAATCAATGTGAGCAAACCAGCATATCGGTCAGTCGAGCCTTCCGAGACACCATTGTGATACGCAAGCCAATTGCCGTGCCTATATTCCGAGGTAAACCTCCAGTGAGACTCCTGAATCAAAACAATGTTGGGTCTCGACTCCTGAGGGATCTGGTCAAGCCACAACAGAAATTCAGGTAAGACCGCAGCTCCAAGTCCACTCGAATTCCAGGATACAATGTTGAGATCAAGGACCTTCGGATTGTGGTGCCACGTGCGAAAAGTTCCAGGTCGCGGAGCTCGGTCATCGGCCGATGCAACAACTCCTCTGACATTCAAAGATCTGGCCGTACACCATCTGCCTTTGTAGAAAGTGCCACCAGCAACTTGCGCCCTCCGCTGGGCTCTGTGAAATGCTCTTTTCTTAGCCGTCGACAGAAGTCTTCCGCCGCTTGTCGCAGTCGCAAGAAGCTCCTGCGATCCTGCCTCTGTGGCGTCAGAGGCAACCCTCGCTCCTCCGACCCTCGAAAATACCATGAAAAGAATAAGAAAGCTGAGCCATCTGGACATGGGAGGAAAACGAAGACGAAAAGATCCAGACAGGGGGTCGGCTCGGGACTTGGGACCCGAGGGCTCACCAAAAGAAAAGGGTGTGGTTCGCTGTGATACAAAGTCAGGTGATAAGAGAAGATGAGATATACTATGTGTGATTCGTCCACTCCCAGTGCCCCACAGCAATAAAACACATGACCGTGTATATTGCCAGACTCTGAGAAAGTGCGCAATCTGTATCCGTTCAAGCTCATGCAGATACCCGAGGGCTGAGAAGCATTTCTGTAAAAAGCGAGAGGACATCAACACCAACAACCACATAGTGCTGCAGAGCAAAGATATCAAGATTCCGGCCCAGGATATGCATGAGGAAGTCCAGAAGATCTTGAGCATGACCTGATCGAGCTCAAAGCGGCAGCATCTGCAGATAAGGAAGATAAGAAGTACAGGCAACCCAGCCAAAATCGCACATTTCATGTATGCAGAAGGGAGCGGAGGCTGTCCGGAGGTCTCGGTTGCATCTGGCTGTACATCTGCCATAGGCTCACCATGGGTCCCAACATCAACGGATATAGCTGCATGACCATCCGCAGTAGCTGCTGCCGGCATCGGCTCAGTAACAGGCGGGTCATGAACTGCTCGTGCTTTGGCCGTCGCAGCCTTGATCGCCTCTCGTCGTTGCTCCATGCGACGTCTAAAGGCTTCACGCTGTGCTTCAAGCAAAGCAGCGCATCTCTCATTCATTATGCGCCGCTGGGTTTCCGGGTCAGGGTCATCCTTATTGTCCGCAGCCGGCGAGGAAGATGGTCCCACATCAGTGCGTCCCTCTCCAGACGAAGCAGCAGCCTTGCACTTAGCAGCCCGCAGCTTTGGCGCATGAGATCGACGAGAGGTAGAGCCAGTGGTCTTTGTCAGCTCCCCTGGCGTAGCCAAGCTTTCCCGAATGGATCCTCTGGCCTTCTTCGGAAGCTTCCGAGCCGAGCTGGATTTGGCCAAAGCACCAGAGGAAGCAGCCGCAGCCGGGGCTGTTCCTGTAGGCTTCTGGCCTCCTTTCTTTTTCGAAGGAACATGACGAAGAGCTCGAGGGAGCGAGCTACCTTTAGTCAGTGTATCATCGCCGGACACACGTCCAAGCACCCTCGTGGGGAAGACACCATATAGGCCCTGGGCTGCATCTCCCGGGGTCTCGTCATCAGTATCCATGGGCTGGTCAGCCGGAACGGGGAAGTTTGAAACATCCCAAAACTGTATTGGCCGACCTTGTATGGTCAGCTCCACCAGGTGACTGCCCGTAGGGACGTCTCGAAGAGCATCCACCATTCCCTGAGAAAGTCCATGACCACCACGAAGCCGGGGCAGAGGCTTTTTCTGGCCTTTTGCATCACGCAGACGGGCCTGCAGTTTCCTCAAGCGAAGCAAAGAGGAGGCTTTCAGGTGCTTCAGCCTTGGCAGAGGTTCACGAAGGCGAAGTCGAGGAATTGGCTGACGAGCCACAGACTGACTCCCAGCCGCCAAGGTAGAAGACGTAGCCGTCAGAGGCCGTCTCCTGGGAAGTGTTGGCCTCTGATCCCAGGATCGCTTGGGCTCCGGGGCCTCCGGTGTATATCGCTCCATCGCAGGAACAAGGGCCGCCAACGCTGAAGATATAAAATGAATGCAGAACCCAGGCTTCATGAGTAGCAAATGTGCATAACTGACGATGGCCAACAGAGGCTGCAACATTGTTACAAAAGTACCCAGCAGGGAAATCAGAGTGACAACGCAGCCTCGAGCCTGGTCTGTGGAAACCACAAAAGTATGAATGCATAGTTGTTGACAACCACTGCCAGGGACACTGCACGAAACATAAATCCAAGCAAGTGATAAGTACCAGAGTGCCCGACCATCTGAGGGCATCATTGAAGACGAAGAGGGAGTAGTGTCTATATGAGGCAGACCTGAGTGAGAGCCGAATCCCAGCAAACATGGAGCACTTTGCGCATAGATAACGTCCAGGTCCCAAGCCCAAGAGTATGCAGCGTCCTGCTGATTTATGCAAAGCAACAGCACCATCGAGAATACCCGAACAAACAGGTTGGCACCGTACCAGCAAAATGGGATGGAATCACACCTTGGAAGCCAGGTTGACATCCAGTGGTCAATAGCCCAGAGACATAAATAGGCAGCAGACCGTTCGCCATATGAAGATCTCACCTGTTCCATAGATATCATGGATATCAGAAAACCAAGCAATTCTGCAGAGACCCACCTCTGCAGTTTGGCGGCGACCTGAGTACCAATATGGTCAGGGGTACGCATAATGGAGATGGCCCATAGAAACCAAGGAGATAGAAATAAAGGTGCAATTTTCCCAGCAGGCAAAGAATACCAGATTCTGGCATACTGGTGTTTCCACCAACATAGGATATGTACACACCACAAAAGGTGATCAAGCGTCGCTGTCAGAGCGAAGCATCTCCTCAATATCACCAGTATGTACAGAGTCAACCGCAGACATATGGTCCAGGTCCAGGTCATGTGAGGCCTCCGTGAGGGCTGGAGTCCCAGGGCTTTGCTCGGGAGCATCTGGGGCTGAGGAGGTAGGATCAGAGCCAGCTTCATCTTTGGGGGAAGAAGACTCCATATGTCGAGCAAGAGGACGTAGAGGAGACAGCGGCACCGGCTCCGTCTGAATGCTTCGATCCACCATCGTAGGCCGCCTGTTGCGCGGGACCCGTATCTTGCGAGAGCCCCGCCACAGATTTGAGGGCTGGACTCTGGTAATACGCAAACATCGTGGTTTATCGGCCTTTGAACCCACTGCTTGCTTACCATAAGTATCGTGCAGGTGAGGAGCTTGTGAGGGCCGAGGTCGCCCAGAGGATGTATTCGCAACAGATTGACCAGCCGAGGCAACACCACCACCAAGCGAATATCGTGTCCGGTCGAAATAGCTGGGATACTGTGCCATCGCTGGCGGTTTGGTGGCAATGAATGGAATCTCGTCGATACCAGAGGCGCCATCTTCAAATGGACCCTCCACTCTTGAAAATTCATCATCCTCATACAGCTCTCGTCGGAGCTGTTCTTGAAGTTGAATGCTGCGCCGAATCTGGACAGGGGCCGGCTCAGAGCAAAGAGGCATGGCTGCACCACCAGTGTTATATGCCCAAGCAAGATAGACAGCTGTGTGTACATATATAAACCAGTACGGAGACCCAGAGTGACCAAAGTGAACCCCGGCATCAAAGTCTGTGCGGAGCACATTGAACACACATGCTGCCACAAGATCAACAATAGGCAGCTGTACAAGCGTTTTTGCAACCAGAGCATATGCAAGAACAGTGCATTGCAGGCGCGAACCCAACACATACATCCTGTAAGGCGCTGACAAGAAGACGTCTCAGGGGTTCGCAATGCTCGTCGGAGAATGTGCCACAAAAGACTGGTGCGACTGTCTAGTACCTTTCCTATCCATGCACGATACCACTGATCCTGATAGCCGACAAATCCACAGTGCTTGCTTGCGAGATAGTGAACACTTATCTGCAGGAATCGCTGGAGCCAGGAACAAAGCACCTTGCAAATGAGCAAGATGGGGCACATACCAAGCACCATGAGTACCTGACTGGAGAACTCATCGCTGGGCCTGAACAGACTTTTTGCAAAAAATGCACGGCTAAGGCGGCAATGCACCCTACGCACTCTACGAACACGGGGCTTGCTCCTCCTAGCAAGTATTTCCTGCCAGCGGGATGTACGCCACAGCTTAGTCTTTGGATGAGCCAGCTCCTGACAGAGTCGTGTGTCCTGTCCAAATGGAACAACAGCACGGCAAGGAGCAGTTGTGCAAAAGGGAAAACCTGACAGCACATCTGCATTACAGAACAGTCCTGAGTCACGTTGTTTTTGAAGACGGTCTCGGTGATCTTGAATGTATACAAGAAGTAACGTACGCTGCAAGGGCGGACTGATCTGATACGAAAATACTTGGTGCATCAATGTATCAACAAAGTCATGATGGGACGGTTGATAGTCCTCCATCAATGCCGCTTGTAACCTTTGGCTGGCATCTGTAACGTCTGGTTCCTGCACCCAGGAGCCATCACCTGATGTAAATATAGACGGTGAAGTAGCATTGGTATGACAAAGTCCCCGTTCCGAGATAAGACCCGAGGATCGAGATCGACGTACTGGTGCATCCACTCCACTGTTATCGCTAGGACAGTCCAGACAAAGATCTGTGCTGGGACTGTATAGAGGGGAACGCGATCTGCTTCTGGGCATACAATGCACACCCAGAAAAAGCGTGAACAGAGTTGACAGAGGCACAGCCATGGGACGCAAGGATAACATGTTTATACAAAGTTGAGAAGATGAGAAGCATCATGGATGCACACATCAACAACTTGCTCCTGGCAACAAATGAAGTTATGACAGCAATTGCAAAGTCATAGAGCGAACCACCCCCGAAGAAACAGGAGTTTGAGCCAGGAGCTTCGTGTCATCTCTGCGCAGAAGCCAGG